CTCCTCTGACGAGACGGTACCCGCCTCCCTGACGTCTCCCACCCCTAGCGAAACTCGGTTTTCTTCCGTCACCTCGTGGAAACTTATGGGGGGCGAAACATGGAAAGAAAGAAAGAAAACATTATTGACTCATTGTTTGCACAGTCTGTTTTTAATGATAATAATGCAATTGAATGCAAAGGTGCCGGCGAGCTGGACAAGAATGACGAAAATAATCCCTGGACAAGGAGACAAAGGACAAACAAAAATCTCCAAACACAGCTAGGTGACTAGTGCGCAACCAAAAGAGTTTGCCTGTTCCAGGTATCAAACCAGGGACCTCTCCGTTCCGCCACATCCATTTCACCTACTGCGAGGAATTTACACCTGCACCCAAAACTCATTTCACTTTCTCTGGGCCCAACTACGCCGTCCGATTGTTTCCCGGGCTCTTATCAATTTGAATGACATACCATCTTGAAAAAATCCTGAAAAATCAATCGTTATAACCAATTATCATTGCATCTGGACTAGAGACTTATGATTTCTAGTCTAGAAATGTATCGTTATATGTGGTGTCATTATTAGTAGATTGCACTGCATTCGAAAGGCTTTCATTGTTTGTGCCAAACATGAATGGTTTTCCAAAATTTCGCACTGCAGTCGCCGACCAATTTTGCGGACTCCGCAGGGACCGAAATAATGTCGGAATAATAGAGCAGTCCAAAAAATTGGCAAAATAAATACTTGCCTTTATTACATCTCAGTGTGTTTAAAAAAGCCGTAAATAATACTTTGCTTCTGGTTACGCCTGCACGGCTTGTTTCAGGTTACGCCTTTGTTTTCGTTCGGCAACTTTCTGTTAGCTTGAGAATCGCTGCCTTCTTTTCTAGCGTTATGGTCGAGTACTTTCTGCGCTTCTTAATGACACATCGTGACGGCAGAAGAACAGACGGGGCTATGACGTCCAAGCCAGCGTAGTTTGAAAAGACGATCCACCGAGTCGAGATGAGAGGCGCGAGTCCATGACTGCAATGGCAAATGAACAAAGCAAAATGGTAAGAACAGTGATGATGATAATGACGTGCAGCTAGACAAAAAAAAAACGCTGTAGGGCATCACCTGGCGGTAGAGCTTAGCAGTACTACTCGAGTAGCGCTGCCAAACCAAGCCAATCTATGTGCAGCCAACATAGACTCCAAAATGGCCGCTTCTCAGTGGTGTTTTCCACTGATCGTTTGCGACAATTTTGTCTGAAAAATCTAACTTTGGGACTTGAAGTTGTCCAAAACATTGGTCGTGAATATGCAGTTTCTATCGGGTAGGTCACGGTTTCTCTAGAAGGGTATGTACTTGGGCTAGTAGTTAATCCATATTTCCGAGGGTAAAAGCTCCAAAAACAACGGACAAGTAAAAGAAACGCTCTGTGGATTTTGTTGCTTTTACTTGTCCGTTGTTTTTTAGCACCTTTACCCTCGGAAACACGGTTTCTTCTTTAGGTCCGAAATATCGAACAAGTCGGAATTATCGGCGTGAAAGAAATCGGTCAACGACTATTTTTTCTTTCCCTTTTCTCGCCACCCTCAGTTTGTGTTTTAATCTGAAATAGATGCTGATTGATTGATTGATTGATTGATTGTTGGGGCATGGAGGTACAGTCAAACATTGTTTTAACGAAATAGCGTCGTGAGTGGAAGTGTGTTCGCTTTATGCGATATTCGTTATAAAGGTGCACACGCAAATTGATGCAAATGTTCCCGCAATCGAGCTCGTGCAGGAATGTGCACAGCACTGAGATATAAAAATTAGCTATCCCGGACCACAAGATCCTTACCTGTCACTAAGCAGCATTCAAAAAACAGATGGGAGCATGAGGATATCGCTTGGAACATGAGAAACCGCGTTAGCTGGATCCATAATTTCATTTATTTGAAGGAATGCGTGATTTTGGGCTGTGCCTCTTCAGCTGGAGCCACCGCGCTGAAGCCAACCCGTGCTCGCGCTGTGTTGTATTGTCACTAAAGATGTTGTTGACTGATGAGCTGCATTTGGGGTCTGGCGCTGCAGAGTCGTGTCCGGCCCACTGCAGAATAGACATCCCGGCATCCTTCAGCTTAGCAAGGAAGTCCCTAACAGACACACCAGACTGATTGCTTTCGTTTGAAGAAGCTGACCAGACACTGGCAGATTTCGCACGCTTACATCCTTAAACCATGAGAACAGAGCCACGTCCGGGTCGAGGCAAAGCCTAAGACTCTATCGGTCAATCTTGACGTTGTTTGCATAGCAGTCTGTGATCTTCCTTGCACTCAGAATGGTAGATATCGTGCTTGGTGCAAGCTCCTAGTTTGCAGTGATGTCTTTTTTTCTTCCGGCCGCTGTCCACCACCCGCAAAACCTTCACTTTTGTTTCCGGAGAGATGGCCTTCCACTCGGTCGCCATTTGCAGCTCGTCTACGAGTGGTGTGGTTGGCACTTGGCTATGGTCTGCACTGGTTCCTGATGCCTCGAGGCCAGCAGCGGCACAATCATTCACTCGGTTCATAGGTGGCGCTACCTCTCAAAACACACATTTTTGCATATTGGGTGATCTAAACTTTAGGAATTTTTCGTGTAGAAATTACTTTTTGTATTTTTTCTACTTTTCGATAAGCTTCGTAGTATTTTGTGATGCAAGAAGAGCTGGAATTGCTTCGCTATACCGGTAACACATCAGATCTCACGGTTTCGTAATATAACTTGAACTCCCATCTAAATAAAGCAGGACCAACCAAACTTGGTGGTTAGTTTGTTATATCAGTGTTCATTTTCAAGGGGTTCAACTGTAGGAAGCTTCTGGAGGCGACATGACGCCACCAGAGGTGAAAGGAATGCCTCAGCGATTACCAAAGGCGCTAATGAGCGGACACCCTTTTGGGCATTCCCACCAAACTCTACATTCACTCGGGATTTTCTCATTTGGCTGAGCCAGTATGTCGCCTCCCCTTATTCCTGGTGGGGAGTGCATTGCATACACTTCTGAAGGTGCACACTGCAGAGACATGCTGCATGCTTAGAGGAAGAGCCTGGGCTTGACAAAGTCTCAACCTTGCGGTTAAGATTATTTCAAAAGGAAACTGCGCTCCCAAACGTGGTCTCGCAAAGTTGGTGGTCAGTTTACGGCGATAGCTGTTGTGGGCTCCCACTCTTGATGATCTTGATGCGGAAAGGAGTCTGACAACACGAAGGCTTAAAAAACAAAACCTGCACAAAGTTATTTGGGGATCGGCCAGTTGCTAAGCGCTACCACGGAGCCATGCCAGCTGCTTTGACGCCTAATACAGTTAAACCTCGATGTAACGAAGTCGGTAAAATTCGCAATATACTTCGTTACATTGAAATTTCGCTAAATCGAAATTTGGCTTTAGCATGCAAAAAAAATTCCGAAACATTTTACGGATATGAAAACTCACCGAAAATGACATTTATTTAAGGGGCAAAGTAGTCCGTGAGTTTCGCTTGCGCCTTGTCCGACAGTAGCAGCGGCGTCATACGGCGTTCGAGCGCCCAGAGCGCTTGCACGGCATCCTGCTGCCCATGCGACGCCGTGTACCTCCTCAGTACGTCCATTGCGTCGAGCACTTCCCGAGTGGTCGTGATCTCGGCAGTTTCTTCAGGATGGCGTCCAAAACGTTTGCTTTCTCGGCCAAAGAAAGAACTTTACGTTTCCCTAGGGCAGCAAGCACTTGAGTGAACCGCCCGGTTGAAAAATAAAGCTGTTTAGGCGGTGCCAATGTTTCCAACCTACACAGCACTCTTGCCCGCACAAACTGTGGCCCGCACAGTTTACCTGCCCCCTTGCGCCCACATTGTGCTTGCGCCTTTGCTTTACATCACGCTCGCAGGACGATAATCGGTCTTCTCGGTCTTCTTTTAGATGGCACTGCCCGTGCGGTCGTGCCATTACGTCGCTCTCCCCCACTGAAGTTGGCTCCCGCGCTACCCGCGGTACAGTGGACTATGATGATCAGTGAATGTCAGTGGTGATGCTGTTATGCCGTGTTAACTTTTTGCTCGGCATTTTCTGGCCAGCCCCGCGGAATGCGCTTTGCCGCATGCCTCGCCGGCGCTACCGGCGCCCCATCCTCGGGCAGCCTACTAGGAACGTTGGAAGGCCTGTCCCCGTGAAGGAACCTATCAAGCGCTCGCGTTTGCGCATAATTTTTTTTTAACCACAATTTTTTTGCGAAGTTGTTCTTTAGAGTCTATTTATTTATTGCCTTCTATGGCAATGGCGCTTCGTTATATTGAAAATAGCAGCAAAATAGACTTCGTTATATAGAGACTAAAAATACATGGAGTCTATGGGCAAGAAATTATGAAAAATAAAATACTTCGTTAAATCGAGGATTTCGTTACATTGAAGTTCGTTATATCGAGGTTCGACTGTAATCTGTTCAGGAATGCCCAGCAAACGGCCCCATTGCTCCACCCGAGTACCAAAGAAGTGAGCTCCGAGCAGACATTGGAGACCTGTTAGGTGCTGGTAGAAGCAGATATGTAGCGATGTGTTGGGGTTCGATAGGGTGTCCCAGTTGTCACTCTGACTACCGTGGATTCACACAGGACGGCTCTTTTAACATACAATGTGTGTCATGGAGTTTGGCTTTGTCAGTCGGCTGTGACGAAGACCGCCTGTAGGGAATCGATTCCAGTTCCCCCGGCAGGATTTGAACTCGCCACTCGGAGATTGTGAGCCCAGTGCTTTGCCGACCGAGCCATCCCGGGTCTCCTAGCACACCTTTGGCGCACGAGGGAGCGGTTGCGCGCTTTGCGGCCTCTCTTGTTGCACCATCTCACGGCATGTGTCAGAAAAGACTCCCTGCTTCAACGGACATTCTCTGCTTTCCAGTCTTTGTTGGTATGATAGACCTTGTATAATTTTAATTTCTTTGGCGCTACGTAGGAAATTTTCTTGCGATTATAGAGTGTGAGAACCCCAGCTCGCAACTGACCTGTGACTGGTTGCCCCATTTTTGCAGGCCTTCTACGCCGCTGAAGGCAGCAGCGCGTTTCCCGAAGGCCTGCCAGAAGCCCTTCTACGCAGAGGACGGTTCTATGCTGGCTGCCACACCGACAAGTGCTGGTACCGAGTGTTAGTTCACCAGGTACGTGCTGGGTCTTTGTGGCTGGCTCCTTCTCACCTTACTGGGCTTTATGGACCTGTGGACTATTGTGTCCGATCCATCGCCCGACTGTCGTATTGCCATCAAGTAAGGCCAAGAGGCTGTAAATAATGAATTGAAAAGAAAGGTTGCCAATCAAAATAAAGAATGGGCGTCAAAACAGCAGAAAAGTGGGCGGCATAACATGAAGCGCAAGCGAGACAAACTCGACAAGCTCACGGGTAACTCCTTATCTGGTGTGCGTCAAAATGATGAGTGTTACGCCCTGAATAAGTATAACCGCGAATCTTCTAGAATTCTGTGACCGAGCGCTGCTTGCTCGGCCCTGCGCGCGGCATTATCCCCCTTTTTAAAAGGGCCCCAATGTAACAGAAAAGGAAAAGGGCCCCCATGTATGGTACGGACAAAATAAACATGCAGTGTCCCAATCCTAACGCGCGTAGAACAGCTTGAGTCGAACTACGTGGATGACTTCGGGTTGTGGCTGGCGGCGTCCTAATGGTCGGGTTCCGTTGGGGAACACCTCGTAGTTCAAGTCCCCAAGGCGGCAAATGACTTTGTGGGCTCCAGAGCAGCGTTTTAACAGTTTCTCGCTGAGGCCGCGGCGGCAAATGGGTGTCCCAATGAGGTAGGGGGGCTTAGAGCGAAAAACTGGTATGCCCTTCACCAGGGAAAAGCAACCTCCACTTGGCCACCGCCATGTTGTACAATTTTGACCAATAGACAAGAGACTGTACCAAGTCCTGAGGCTTTTAGCAAAACTGAGCTGACATTTGTATCGCAATCGCTGTAAAAAACACGATAAACTATTTTTTCAATGCTGTTAGCCCCAGAGATCAGTAGCTGCATTTGATTTACTTACATTTCCTACACCGGTGCAGAAGAGTGTAGAGCACTGTAAATACACATACTGGAAGTGGACTGCCCTACAGTTTTCTGCACTGGTTCAGGAGGTGTAAGTAAATCGAACGCAGCTGTTGTCTAGCTCTGAAGCCAAACCCACTTATAACAATCCCACATATAACACCCTATTGGTTATAACGACCAGCTTTCAGAAAATATACGAAATCAAGGCTCTACCCATTAAAATTGGTCCAGATAAAACTACGGTTTTTCAATGCATCATGCTGTTACAACAAACACTCAAAGTCCGCTTTAAAAAAACAAAAAATAAAAAAAAAACAATTCCTTCGCAAAAAAAAAAAGAGCTAGAATTTGGGCACTGCGGGAGACGTTTCAGGTCATTTGTACGGCCGCGCAACATACTTCTCCGGGAAGGAAACAAAACTACAAAAGCAATACGCCGATTGTGGGGGAATGAGAAGAGGAGGAGTCAACTCTCATGCCATGCTGCGTCAGCTGCGTTCGTTTCTTTTATGTTTGCAACGCTCAATGCTCGGTAGAAGGTGGCTAGCCCCATCGCCATCTTTGTTTACATTCACCATTTTGGGGTCCGTATCATGCACATTTTCTTGCATCTACAAAAAGTCTCTTGTTCTAAAATAAAAAAAAAAAAAAAAAAAAAAAAACACTAGGAGGGTTTATTTGAACGAAAGGGCATCACGCTCACGGAAAAAGATAACGGCGCAGCACTGCGTGGCCTCGCAATCCCAGCCACCCGACGAGCTCGCAAAGTGTTCTTTGAAAGATCACCCTGCTAGAGGCGACGGCCGTGCTCTCGTACGTGCGCAGGAAGTGCGGCACTTAAAACGCTTATATTAAAGCAAGTGTTCATTACCTCTGGGGATAGGGAAGAACCATCGTCGGACTAGTGCACGGCATTTATTTTTGTGTTGGCATGCGTTTCATAAATTCTGTTCTATGAGGTATGTGGTCAGTTAATCATGTCGTATTACACCTGAGGAGACGTTCTCTGTGTCTGTTCCTTCTACTGAAAGTTCTTCCGATTTCTTCCACCGCAGTCTCAGGTGTAATACGACATGATTAGCTACCACCAGCTCGCCTGCACTCTCACCGTCTTTTCACTATGTGGTCAGTCTTCATTATTTTACCTGTGTGGTAGAATCGGCAGCAATTTACTTTTCGATGATCTGAAAGCTAAATCTGCCTGTGCGTTAGAATTGGGGGCTTGTTAGAATCGTGCAAACAGTTTCTTTAAATTATGAACTGGCAGATTGAAGCTACCAGTACGAGCTTCATTATGCTTGTTTATGACGTGTTTTAAAGGTAAGTCCAGATATAACTAACTACTGATGAAACGACTACTTTTTGCGCAACTATTGCATTCGCTATAAGTGGGTTTGACTGTACACCCAAAATACAGCACTGCGGCCGACAGCATCTAGTGGATGCATTGCGAAACTGCCCGAGTTTTTGTAGTAAAAGCACATTTCGGATTTGAAACAAACGAAACATAACTAATCTTGTCGGTACCGTTAATAAAGACCAATAAGCAATTATTTGTGCGCTGTACTTCGATAAAATCTGGACGTAAAACTCTACGGTCGCGTAGTGGTCAGAAATGTGCAACGTGGCGGCGGCCAATCGGGGGTCACTTTCAGCTACCAGTTGATCGCTCTAAGGCCCTCTACCTTGTTCGGGTGCCCGCACTCACACCCTGTCTTCTGGCTCCAACTCCACACTGCGACGACGAACGTTGTACCGGTCAGCGTCGACACATTGTTGGTCCTTAATCCGAAGGCGGGCTAGCTGGCGGGCCTCCTCCGCTGACCATTGGGTGACCAGCTGGGTGGTGCCATCGGACTTACCGTATTTGCACAAATATAACGCGAGGGCAGGTTTTGATGCCCTCAAAAAGAAAAAAAAAAAAAAGATATTACTATTATAACACGAACCGAGGCCGCGTCAATTTCTCGCACTCGGGGACATAGCAGATGTGAAAAGTCAATGGAAATAGAAGAAATGTCAGTTTATGGTTTGACTGCACTCATCCTCACTGCTCAGGTCCTTCCGTTTACAATACACTTGCCAACTACGACTACGCAGATAAGCAGCAGCACGGCACCTGCTTGTCTGGTAGTTCCTTTTTCTTCCCTGCGAGCTGAGCTCCTCGGCAGCCCACAATCCAAACAAGGCACGAAGCAGAAGCACCAACACACAAACACCAGATCACTCTAGAGCAGAAACTAAACAATGCGCAGGCAGAAATAAAGACTCCTGAATCCGATACACGATCACACTTCTTGTTCTGGTCCCTCTGCATAAACAAATGCCTCGTGGGCCTCGTGTTGCATGATTGTGTAAACGCGGTTGGTGGTCTTGGCTTGGCTTGTGTTGACTTGACCTGGCTTGGCTTGGCTCAAAATTATTGGCCAGTGCCCGTATTCCCGCATGGCGTGCACGCGTTGTACAAACACAAAAGCGATAAAAATGCTTTTTTATGTTTTCTATTCGCCCCTTCACGTGGCCCAATAGCTAATAAATTCCCTTCCACACCCACACTTCATTTCCCATCAGATATTTTGCATTGAGCCGGAGGGATGGCTTTCTCCTTTGGCTTTCTCTAAACTCGCGCGCCTCGTGGCTGAACTCGATTCCGAATATAACGCGAGGTGCGTTTTGGAGTACACATATAATGCTCGGTCACGGACTTCTAGAAGATTTGTGTGCTCCTGACTGTTATCATTTCGTCCTGCTTTCTCGAGCGTCGCGTGCCTTGAATGTCGAAGCTTCTTTGCCGATTTTTCAAGGTAGTCACGCACACTAGATAAGTAGCTGCGCAGGACCTTGTCGAGTCGGTCTCACTTGCTTTTACACTGCCAAATTGCCACCCGCTTTCTGCTGTCTCGACGTCCATTCTTTATTTTGTTTGGCACAAGTTCGCCGATTAAGCCTTTATTGTCAGTTCACTGTTCATCGTCTAGTCGCCTTTATTCGTGAGGATAGAAGTCACACCTGTGTATAAGTCGCACCTCTTTGCACGGTTCAGGCGATAAGTTTTTTTCGTTTTATGCGCGTTGGAAACCCAAAATGAGAGTTTTGCACAGTCGGCTAGTTCAGGCGTTTGATGCGCAACAAGTTTAGCGTTTCGACTCACGAGAAATGTCCATAGCACGGCGCTGTCTAGCCAGGGCTTTCGAGTCTTTTGCAGCAAAAGGACCTAAACGCGCAAAACGAGAAGGTAGTCGACTTTATTCGAGCAAACACATGTCGAGGGAATGGAAGTTTAACATGCCAGACACTCGTGAATCAAGCTTTGGAGCACTAGGCCAAGTTGCAGACACGATGTGAGCATCAACACGCAGGGAAAAATCTTTACACGCTTCTTTGGGTACTGCTAAAAGGTTGGCTAGCCGCAATCCTTCCTTGTAGATGTAGCAACACGGCAGGAGTGTGGCAGATAAAAACTGCTCATCACGCGGAAACTAAGAAAGACTCGAGAAAATTTTCTGTAATGTGCGTATACACGAACTCAACTCCTACGTCATGCTGCGGTGGTGGCGCATCGGGCGCACATCCGGTCTGGGGCGGTGGGCAGAAGTCGCCGTGCGAGACATGCATTCTTATGTTCTTTTCGGAGAAACGAGACAAAAAACCTGCGTTCTCGTGAAAATGCTGCGGCAGGGACTTTACCAAGAGTCTGGAAAGGTTTGAAGATCAGTTTTCGTGTGTTTCTGCCCGCTCCGTTCGAGTACGTGGATGGTAGCCATGAAAAGGGTAAACTAGACGCTGTCGAACTATGATTGCTAGTGCGGGCAACACTTTGTGGTCGCCAGAAGTGTTTGTTTTGTTCCATGAACGAGAGAAAACCAGCAAGTTGTCCGGGCCACCCACGGGTTAAGTGCGTCTTCAAATTCACACGGCCGCCTGATCGTTCAAACTTTAGTCTGCTGTTTCGAACTTGTCTGCTTTTTGTCGTCTGCTTGTTCAAACAAAAGCGGCCCGTAGACCAAACTTTGACCCGGTGATTGCAATAAGAAGTAATTGCAGGCCTCAAAAGACTTATGAGGCTCGGTGTAAATAGTAGATACGAAATGTTGACCATTGGTACCAGTGGCCATCGCCGAGTTGTTACGCTTGGTCTGTTCCCGATTCCGAATTTCAGTATCGACATCGATCATCGCCGCTACCTTCTACACTTTTGCGGCACGAGCGACGTCGCAACCGAAAATATCTAGAAGAATCTCATCATGGTTTTGGCGTCCATTCTGCGGCGTTCACACGAATGAATCGCCGCACGTCAAATTATTTTCGCAAAGTTTAGCAGTGTAACGAGCCTTGATAATTTCACTCAGGCGATTAAAGTGGTAAGACATTGCTATGAGGACGTAGAATCAACAATTCCAACGCGAAAAAGAGTATGCAGACTCGCACAGGCGCCGACAACTTGACATTCCAATGGTTTGTTGACGCGGGACGCGGTGCTTCTTGCCCGCACTCCATTGCGCACACGTTCGAACTGTCGCCTGCTCTTTCAAACTTGTTTGCTTTTTGTCGTTAGCTCAATCAAACGACAGCGGCCTGTAAACCAAACGTTGACCCAGTAATTGCGATGAGAACTAAGTGCCTCAAAACCCTTTTGAAGGTTGGTTGGGGTAAAATAATTTCGTGAATGAATATTTGAGCTATAAATCAACTTATAATATCTATGCGGGGGGCTGTATGTGCATTGAAGTTGACTCTAAAACATTGTTTTCACAAAACACAATTTTTGGACACGTTGAAAATTTACAGGAGGGATATCTCAGCATGTAGAGCAGATAGAAATATAACCGTTCCTGAAGTGTATAGGTGAATGTGTGAAGCATACAATGTTGAGAGCAGATTTTTTAAAATAAGTCTAGAAAATTTTCTATTTGATTTTTTGCTATATTACTTGTTAGCCATGCATTGAGCACTCAACTTCAATGTGTGGTAAAATCACTAATAATGAGTTTATCTTAAAAGTGCTTCCAACATTGTATTCTCTACACTTCGTAGTATCTAGCCATATGTTAAAAAGAATATTTTGTTGAGCAGTTTGTTTTCTATCATTTTTCCAAACAAAGGCAGGCAAGTTTTTTATTATTTTGAGGACAATGCTACTGACTGAGAAAATGACCAAATATATGAAATCAGCACAAAAATTTGAATAAGCTTGTGCAGTTTCATCAAGTTTGGTCATAAAATAAGAAAAAAAGCTCCAAGACCAGTGTTCCCCCTTAAGTGTAAACAGTAGATACAAGAAGATGTTTATCATTGTTACCAGTGGCCATCACCGATTTGTAATGCCCGATTCTACTTGCGGTTTTCAGTATCGACGTTTACCATCTCAGCTACGGTCCACGCATTTTGCTGCCCGAGCGACGTCGCGACTGAAAATAGCGAGGAGAATCTCATGGTGTGAGTCAGGCTTTAGCGCCCACTCTGCGGTGTCCACGTGAAATGAATCGCCACAAGTCGCATTATTCACGCAAAGTTTTGCCTCATTTATTTTGCTGAAGCTACTCAAGTAGTCAGACATTGTTAAGAGGACGTAGAATCAACAATTCCAACGCGAAAAAGAGCACTTTTAAAGCGAAAAAGAGCACAAAAGAGCACAGATGCCGAAAAGTGAAAACAACGCAATTCAACGGTTTGTTTATGGGTGACGGCGGGCTTCTTGCCCACCGGCCGCAGCGCATGCGCGGCGCCGGTGGCGTCCGCTAGGGGCGCTCCGGTTTCTTTGTAAACATGAGTTGGTGTATACCAGCCCACTTACCTTTCAGCGTTACTGTACTGAAGCAAAAAGGTATGGAACCATGGCCGAATTAGGCAACGTCAATCACAGGCTGTAAAAGCTTTATTCTCACTGTCTCGCCTACCCGCAAGGAGCCGCTCTGGGGAAACCGTAAAATTTCTCGCTTTCCGAGTCGGTTATGAAAAGTGTAGAAGAGTGCAGTGACGGCAGTGCTTCCTGGAAGGGGCAACACCACTTGTGGCTACATAGTTACGGGGCTCTACCAAATGATAGCGCATAAAAAAATGACACCGTAGATTAAAAAAAAAGCATGCAAGTAGCATATAAGAGAAATGTTTTAAGAAAACATGACTTCTGCGCGGGAAAATAGGGTAAACCAAACTTGTTCTTTTGTCTCCTCACTGCGACTTTGGACATTGTCAAGTGGGTGGGGTGCTCGATCGTAGCCGAATGAGACCTGGGACAATCGCGGAGTGAGCGCACCCAAAAGTAGAACTGAGCCCCGACCGAGCCCCTTCTCTCGAAAGCTAGTTGACCAGTACCTCGACCTTGTAAAATTGAAACATTTCCTTCCCTGAATAACTGGTTGCCCCTCTTTGGACATTGGGTTGAGGCACCTTGGCAGCATAGCTGGTGACTGTAGCAGAGCGAAAGGCAACTCTGGTGGGAGTTCCCTCAAGGTCAGAGTTAGGAATGGCAGGATGCACACATGGTAAGGAAACTCTTGTTTGTCAAAAGCAATGTCTGTGTGCAGGTCCAGGAGCCCCTGATGGCGAGCGTGTACTTTGTGGACTACGGGGACTACAGCATGATGCGACCGTCGGAGCTGCAGCCCCTGTGGCGCCGCTTCAGGGAGCTGCCCGTGCAGGCTGTGCCCGCTTCGCTGGACAGTGAGTACTCAGTTGGCTTGGCCCCCATGGATCCCGTTGCACATACTCCTGGCTCTTCTCGCACTTGGGCTTTCTCTTTTCATGCAAGTGGTTTCGAGACGGCATCGCTCACTTTATTGGAGCCTTGGACACCAATTGCAGCAGTGCTGAGACTGATTGTTATCAAAAGATGTGGAAAGCTGGTTATTTTGACCCGCCCACAACCAACTCTTGCATGTAGGATGGAAGGGGGCACCAGGGTGGGACAGCAGCTGATCAACAGCTTGATTATTGCCAAACTTTGTACTAAGTTGCCTATGAGCATTCCATTTCAAGAATAATTGTTTGATTTTCGTGTCCTTTAACTCTTTCCTTATTCAATCGATGGATTTCAAACCCTCATTTTAGCGTCTTCAGCGTCGTTTTTAGACATGCGACGCCTTCTAGGATATGATGGAGGGACTGTACTGTGAGTTTGGGCTTTTCCACGATTATCTGTCTGAGTGATTGCATCAAGCGGGGCGTCGCTGGCCAATGCTCGTCGGACTTGCGCTGCACACACCAGCTCTGGTGCTGACTGCCTCTGCGTCGAAGTTCCAGGAGCATTTGCAGTCGGCTCTGTCGGCCACACATTGTTCCTTTCAAGAGTGCGAAGCAGCTCAAGCCTCAAGGGCACAAGCGTCGCCGTGCGTAGCATCTAGTGATGCAAAACTATTGATAAATCGACTATCCATACTGACGATAGTTTTCGAAAAACTATTGATAGTGTCGCAGAACTATCGATAGTCGACTATCAATAGTTTTTCGATAGTCGACTATCGATAGTATTATCGATAGTCTGCTATCAATAGTACTATCGATAGTTTTCTGATAGTCGACTATCGATAGTACTATCGATAGTTTTTCGATAGTCGACTATTGATAGTACTATTGGTATTTTTTTTTACTATCAGTAGTCAGATTTTTGGCTATTATGGAGACTATCGATAGTACTATCGATAATTTTGCATTGTTAGAGCGAACACAGTTGCCGCACCGCCGCTCGCCTCCCTTCCTCTCTCTTCGCCCAAACTCCTGTCTTCGTCATCACTGAAAGCTAAACCAAAATTGGGATGGTAAGTGCTTGGGCTAGTTGGTGCCCCATTTGAAAGAATAAAGCGAGAAAAAGAGAAGAGGGAGCAACGTAAACTACTACTAGTGTCGCAAAACTATCGATAGTAAACTGTCGACAGCACTATCGACAGGTTTACGATAGTCGACTATCAATAGTTTTCCGATAGTAGATTGACGATGATTTTCCGGTAGTCGACTATCAATAGCACTATCCATAGATTTTCGATAGTCGACTATCGACTATCGATAGTTTTTCTATAGTCGACTATCAATAGTTTTTCGATAGTCGACTATCGATAGTGCTATTGATAGTTTTTCGATAGTCGACTATCGATAGTTTTTTTATAGTCTTCTATCGATGGTACTATCGATAGTTTTTCCATAGTCGACTATCGATAGTACTATCGATAGTTTTTCGATAGTCTACTATCGATGGTACTATCCATAGTTTTTCGATAGTCTACTATCGATAGTGCTCTTGATAGTTTTTCGATAGTCGACTATCAATAGTTTTTCGATAGTCTACTATCGATAGTGCTATTGATAGTTTTTCGATAGTCGACTATCAATAGTTTTTCGATAGTCGACTATCGATAGTGCTATTGATAGTTTTTCGATAGTCGACTATCGATAGTGCTATTGATAGTTTTTCGATAGTCGACTATCAATAGTTTTTCGATAGTCGACTATCGATAGTTTTTTTATAGTCTTCTATCGATGGTACTATCGATAGTTTTTCGATAGTCTACTATTGATAGTGCTATTGATAGTTTTTCTATAGTCTACTATTGAGTTTTTCGATAGTCGACTATCAATAGTTTTTCTATAGTCTACTATCGATAGTGCTATTGATAGTTTTTCGATAGTCGACTATCAATAGTTTTTTTTATAGTCTTCTATCAATGGTACTATCGATAGTACTATCGATAGTTTTTCGATACTCTACTATCGATGGTACTATCGATAGTGTTTCGATAGTCCACTATCGATAGTGCTATTGATAGTTTTTCGATAGTCGACTATCAATAGTTTTTCTATATTCTACTATCGATAGTGCTATTGATAGTTTTTCGATAGTCGACTATCAATAGTTTTTCTATAGTCTACTATCGATAGTGCTATTTATAGTTTTTCGATAGTCGACTATCAATAGTTTTTTTATAGTCTTCTATCGATGGTACTATCGATAGTACTATCGATAGTTTTTCGATACTCTACTATCGATGGTACTATCGATAGTGTTTCGATAGTCTACTATCAATAGTGCTATTGATAGTTTTTCGATAGCCGACTATCAATAGTTTTTCTATAGTCTACTATTGATAGTGCTATTGATAGTTTTTCGATAGTCGACTATCAATAGTTTTTCTATAGTCTACTATCGATAGTGCTATTGATAATTTTTCGATAGTCGACTATCAATAGTTTTTCGATAGTCAACTATCAATAGTTTTTTTATAGTCTTTTATCGATGGTACTATCGATAGTACTATCAATAGTTTTTCGATAGTTTTTCGATACTCTACTATCGATGGTACTATCGATAGTGTTTCGATAGTCTATCGATAGTGCTATTGATAGTTTTTCGATAGCCGACTATCAATAGTTTTTCTATAGTCTACTATCGATAGTGCTATTGATAGTTTTTCGATAGTCGACTATCAATAGTTTTTCTATAGTCTACTATCGATAGTGCTATTGATAGTTTTTCGATAGTCAACTATCAATAGTTTTTTTATAGTCTTCTATCGATGGTACTATCGATAGTACTATCGATAGTTTTTCGATACTCTACTATCGATGGTACTATCGATAGTGTTTCGATAGTCTATCGATAGTGCTATTGATAGTTTTTCGATAGTCGACTATCAATAGTTTTTCTATAGTCTACTATCGATAGTGCTATTGATAGTTTTTCGATAGTCGACTATCAATAGTTTTTCTATAGTCGACTATCAATAGTTTTTTTATAGTCTACTATTGATAGTGCTATTGATAGTTTTTCGATAGTTGACTATCAATAGTTTTTCTATAGTCTACTATCGATAGTGCTATTGATAGTTTTTCGATAGTCGACTATCAATAGTTTTTCTATAGTCTACTATCGATAGTGCTATTGATAGTTTTTCGATAGTCCACTATCAATAGTTTTTCGATAGTCGACTATCAATAGTTTTTCTATAGTCTACTATTGATAGTGCTATTGATAGTTTTTCGATAGTCGACTATCAATAGTTTTTCGATAGTCTACTATCGATAGTGCTATTGATAGTTTTTCGATAGTCGACTATCAATAGTTTTTCTATAGTCTACTATCGATAGTGCTATTGATAGTTTTTCGATAGTCGACTATCAATAGTTTTTCGATAGTCAACTATCAATAGTTTTTTTATAGTCTTCTATCGATGGTACTATCGATAGTACTATCGATAGTTTTTCGATACTCTACTATCGATGGTACTATCGATAGTGCTATTGATAGTTTTTCGATAGTCGACTATCAATAGTTTTTCTATAGTCTACTATCGATAGTGCTATTGATAGTTTTTCGATAGTCGACTATCAATAGTTTTTCTATAGTCTACTATCGATAGTGCTATTGATAGTTTTTCGATAGTCGACTATCAATAGTTTTTCTATAGTCTACTATTGATAGTGCTATTGATAGTTTTTCGATAGTCGACTATCAATAGTTTTTCTATAGTCTACTATCGATAGTGCTATTGATAGTTTTTCGATAGTACTATCAATAGTTTTTCGATAGTCAACTATCAATAGTTTTTTTATAGTCTTCTATCGATGGTACTATCGATAGTACTATCGATAGTTTTTCTATAGTTTTTCGATACTCTACTATCGATGGTACTATCGATAGTGTTTCGATAGTCCACTATCGATAGTGCTATTGATAGTTTTTCGATAGTCGACTATCAATAGTTTTTCTATAGTCTACTATTGATAGTGCTATTGATAGTTTTTCGATAGTCGACTATCAATAGTTTTTCTATAGTCTACTATCGATAGTGCTATTGATAGTTTTTCGATAGTCGACTATCAATAGTTTTTCTATAGTCTACTATCGATAGTGCTATTGATAGTTTTTCGATAGTCGACTATCAATAGTTTTTCTATAGTCTACTATTGATAGTGCTATTGATAGTTTTTCGATAGTCGACTATCAATAGTTTTTCTATAGTCTACTATCGATAGTGCTATTGATAGTTTTTCGATAGTACTATCAATAGTTTTTCGATAGTCAACTATCAATAGTTTTTTTATAGTCTTCTATCGATGGTACTATCGATAGTACTATCGATAGTTTTTCTATAGTTTTTCGATACTCTACTATCGATGGTACTATCGATAGTGTTTCGATAGTCCACTATCGATAGTGCTATTGATAGTTTTTCGATAGTCGACTATCAATAGTTTTTCTATAGTCTACTATTGATAGTGCTATTGATAGTTTTTCGATAGTCGACTATCAATAGTTTTTCTATAGTCTACTATCGATAGTGCTATTGATAGTTTTTCGATAGTCGACTATCAATAGTTTTTCGATAGTCGACTATCAATAGTTTTTCTATAGTCTACTATTGATAGTGCTATTGATAGTTTTTCGATAGTCGACTATCAATAGTTTTTCTATAGTCTACTATCGATAGTGCTATTGATAGTTTTTCGATAGTCGACTATCAATAGTTTTTTTATAGTCTACTATCAATGGTACTATCGATAGATTTTCGATAGTCTACTATCGATGGTACTATCCATAGTTTTTCGGTAGTCTACTATCGATAGTGCTATTGATAGTTTTTCAATAGTCGACTATCAATAGTTTTTCGATAGTCTACTATCGATAGTTTTTCGATAGTCGACTATCGATAGTTTTTTTTACTATCGATAGT